GAGAGAGAGAGAGAGAGAGAGAGAGAGAGAGAGAGAGAGAGAGAGAGAGAGAGAGCGAGAGAGAGAGAAAGAGAGAGCAAAAGAGGGAAGGAAAGAGCGAGCGCTTCCGCCTGATCGCCCACATACATTTTCGTTAAAACGCGCGTGTTCCGTCCGTTTCATTAATTTTAATGCCCGCCGAGCCCGTTCTGTTCATTTCTGCGCAACATATGAATATACGCCGCACCCTCTCTTGCGCTTTCTAGCCGCGCGTATGCTCTCTTTATCCCTGCAAGCGACACGCGCATATACACGCGGGATACGTACACTTCTGTGTACGTACATACGTATGTGTATGCGACTGTGCGTATTGGAGTGTGGTGTATGTGTGCGGGAGGCTCTGCGTACGCGAGCGAGCAGCGCGGGCTCGCTCATGCGAACGTCGCCTCCTCCTCCTCCTCGACCTCCCCCCGCGGGGTTGGTTGATATTAATTAATAATCAGAAACAGATGCGGCCTCCGCCTCGCGCAGCGCCGTTTTGCGCTCTCCGAAACGATAATTATTTAAGTGCCTCTTCTCTTTCTTTCTCCTCCTTTCTCGGTCGTCTCTCCAGTGCGCGCCTTCTTCGCCGTCACTCGGTGTGCTAATTAAAGAGCGTTCGCCGGCGAAAATTTTACACGGTTCTCTCTCTTTCTCTCTCTTTCTCTCCCTTTCTTCCCTGTGTTCACTGTCATCATCGTTGGTGCCTTACTTTTCCCGCGGGATTTGCTGTGACACGACCTGCGGAATTACTCCCAGAGACCCGGTGCCACATTTTACGCTTGAATTTACACGGAACTCGAAATGTTTAGAGTTTTGTCAATATACAAATTTGTGCTTCGATCTAATTGTTAGACTCGACGTTGTAATTTTTTAATGCACATTGAAAAACAAAAACTGTTAAAACGCACGGCTGTAACGCGCGTTTTATTAACTCCGCGATATATATATATATATATTGCCGGACTTTTTCCCCGCGCTATTTGCGCGTGTGTCCGAGAAATCAATATCGAAGTTGCCGATACGAGCGGAAAAATCGGAAGTTTTTCTACGGGCATGTCGGAGGGAAAATTGAGAGCACAAGGAGGCTCCTGCTCGCGAGGAGGATCTGCGATGTTAGGAGGGTGAGAGAACGAAGGGAAAAGGAACAGGACGCGTTCCCGGATGGCGCTTAGCCAGCGACGCTCCCAGCAGTGTCTGCCTTAATATCCGCCACTAACATTATTTCATAAAAGTATTACTATAAATCCAAACTCGCGTTATTTAAGCGCCGTGGCTCTCGCGCGCGCGTAGGGGATGGCCCGCCTCGCTCGCTCTCGCGAGATCTCACCAGAAACCACCCTTCATCCCTCTCTCTCTCTCTCTCTCTCTCTTTCTCTTCCTCCGCGGAGTTCGCCTTACATTATACCGGGCGAAGGAGCGCGGCAGGCAAGTTTTGCCACCCTCTTTTCCCTCCGCCACATTAGAGATATATTATGCAGATAGCGGAGGCGCCGCCGGCCGAGGCGAAGCACCTCTCTCTTTCTCTTTCTCTCTCAGGGATAGAAGGGTGGCGATGCGGGAGGTTGCGGAAATTTAAAACTTTATTTACCCTGCACGGCGAACGACTTTTCGCCGCTCGACTTCTCGCTCGGCTTCTCTCTCCTTTTTCGCCGGATGTGTGCACCGACTTGCACTCGTTAACTTCGGTGTTACTTCGGTGCTTATTTATTTATTCGGTCGGGATAGCCGACCGGTGAGAAAAAAAGCAGCGGCCGGGTAGATGAGAACCAACGCCGCGCACTTCCAGGACGCGTTTCGCAGTGAGACGAGATCGCGAGATCTTTATTGGTAACGCGCGTATTATATTTCACGTGCGCGGTGCAAAACAAGTGCGTGCATTATTTGTATGCGACGAAAAGATAAACACGCGCATCGTTCAAAGAAAAGCAAGGTGGGATATTTATAAATCTGTAATTAAGTTTTTTCACGCTGCATATATTGTGTGCGTATGCGTGCGATGATATTGTTTTATCGCAGACAAGAATTATATCTGCTCAGGTTTCACGAGCGATGCTACGTATTCACTTGTTAAGAAGTAATTTTGCTTGCCGAAGTCAGATGCATCGCGTTCTCTCGCTCTCGCCGAGTTTTTTTTTTTTTTTTACATCGGTATCAATTCCCTTGCACGCACCGAGAGAATTCAATTTACGAGAACCCGAAAGTCGGGGGCTTGGGCGAATTCGGGTAAAAATCCGAGAAAACCGTTTCCGGTTCCGGCTCTTTGAACTTATTCGTTCGGGACCGGTACTTACACCCTTCGTCGACGGCGACACTGCGCCGTGATTGCAAGCGACGGAGGGTGAAGAAACGAGAGAGAGAGAGAGAGAGAGAGAGAGAGAAAGAAGAAAAAAAGAAAACTCGGCCGCTCCCTTTTAAACTCTTGGCCGTCCTCGAAGAAACGGCGGTTGAAAATGAACGCGATGATGGCGGAGGGAACGAAGGCGTAAACCGACGGTCGGCTGATTAGTCGCGAGACTTGGCCCGTTTTCACGATTTTCTCGACTCGATTCCGACGAGCGCCGCCGATTCACGGCGAAAGAAAGATTCTCCGGTGTCGATGAAAAGGGTGCGACGAGAGGAATGAGTTTTTTTCCCCATAACCCTCTAGCGACGATCATTCCGCGTCGCTCTTTCTCTCTTGAGTCAAAAAAAA